TGACCAAGTAGGAGTCTTCTGTAAAAGCCTTTTACAAGACCTCCTATTATCTGATTGGCCTAGCCCCGCTAGACCGCTTTCCTGTTTTGGACTAGCGCCTGGGCCAGAATCCCAACATTAGGAATATCTAATAATAGTAAATTTTTATTAAAGATATCTTTTAATTTTATTTACAGGTAAGAATTTGTAATATCCAGTAATTATTATATAAAATATCTCTGATATAATAAATAATCAGATTTTATTAAGTAATATAAGAAGAAGTTCTATAAAGATATTCTATAATTATTATAATAATATTATTAGTAAAATTTATAAAAATTTTTTATAGATCTTACTTAGAGAATACTGCCTGAATCTTTATATTTATAATTAATAAATTATAAAAAGTACAGGTTTTTATAAACTAAGTAAATAAAGTTATATAGAATATTATAATTAAATAATACAGATAATTTATAGTTTTTAACTTATTATAATTACTTAGACAGTATTTTAAATATATAAAAAAATAATAAGTTTATTTATTATTATATAAAATAATTTTCAGAGAGATTTACCAGCCTGGAAAAGTAATTTAGAAAATATTAATAATTTATTAATAATATATAATTAAAATAGAGTTGTAAATATATATATTTACTATTATTTTATATTATAAAAGTAATTTTTTTTTATAAACTTGATTATTACTACTATCTGAGATAATATTAAATTAAATAAATAAAAATAAAATAAAGCATGCTGTTTTCTTTTTTCTGATTATTTTTAAAATTAAGAAGATTAGTCTTATATTAATTATTAGTAAAAATATAAATAATTAAGATAAATAATTATTAACCTGAGTATATTTTACCTGTATTAAGACTTAAAAGAGTATAATAGGTAAGTCTTAGTATTAAGAATAATTAAGATAATTAACTGTTCTATTTTTGGCTGTTCGGTGGTTAGGTATAAGGAAATCTTATATCTAACTGTTAACCTGATGGCAGGTATAAATCTTTCCATTAACCTACCCTACCCTGGCCGTTAACCACTCTAGCCGGACATCTTTCTATATAGCAAAATAGGGCAATAAGACATACTCTAAGTTGAATAAAAAATCATCTATAAATGACAACAGCATATGGCCCACCGCGTTATTCAGATAAAACACTAATCTAATAATACAAATAAATACCTGACCATACTCAAAGAACTATTAATCAACTTTTGATAAATTAATTTATTTTATATTAGTTATAATTATATCCTATATACACTTCCATCAACACAGTTATCTATGAATTATAATAACTCCAGATTTTGCTCTTTCCACTGGTAAAGATCTGACTTGCTGTACAAGATAGACGGATATGTATATAGAAGATAAAGATATTTATGAGATACTAAAGATTCTAAAAATAAATGGGCTGTATAGAATATAATACTGAACACCCGCTGAAAGATAAACATACTAACAGACTCGATATTTGAAAATTTATCAAATCCTTTGTTAGTACTCTTATGTGAATTCCATCACTTAATATAACCAGAAACCTCTTCGCCATGGCCCTATATTTAGGATAAAGAGAGAGCTGCACTGAAGCTACATGATGGCTTAGTTGAAGGCCAGGATATTGACAATAGGCCTAGGTAATAACAAAAGTCACTTTCGTGAACGGCATAGGCGGCAAACTAGTCATGGGACGGAGTGATCATCTTCAAACCATCAAGATGGAAGGATGTTGAAAGCTGATCAGTCAAGTCCTGGACTGGTAAGATTATGACCTTTGCCACAACACATTCTCGGCCCAACAGAAGTCCACTTATTGACGGTAAACGAAGGAAGGCATACAGACACGTTATCCACAGAGATCATCAGTACCTTCTTCTGCTCCATTAACTTGGCATTGGGGCAATCATAGACGACATGGCGTCCGAAGACCGGTGTCGTCAGGGGAAAGTAAACCTCCGCACAGACATTTCGAAGCCTACCATTCAGAATAGAATCATTGCCCTTCGTACCCAGATAAACCGTCGTCTTGTTTCCAAGAAGGACAAAAGTGAATATATCGCCATAGTATATGCAGGGTAAATGGACCATTCGCTCGAAAGCCATGGACGTTTGAAGCTTTTTCCTGAGGCCACAACGAACCTTTGCGCGACGATCGAAGAAAAACTTATAGGGTCCAATGCCATAATTGATGGTGCTACCGATCCAAGGGACCCAGTAAAAAACCACTGGCGGCTCGTGAGGGTTCTTGAAGAGGAGTTGTCGCAAGACATTAACAAGGATGGACGATACGAATACGGTCAACGGACGACAACTCCAAGGGTCCATATCGACAGAGCCGAGCACTGCTCGCAGAAATTGTTCACAATGTCCGCAAACATAACCATGTTTGCACGAACGGTTGTGAAGAAGAGGATTTAACAAAGTTGGATGCTGACAGAGAGGACATGTGTTCATACAGAGAGGCACCCTCCTGTACGCTCAGAATAAGAGCCAATATAGCGAAACGTGGTCCTTTTGATAATAGGAGATGGGGCGGGTGGTACAGCAAATATGGGTAATACGGTGTCGTAGTTTTCGAATATCAGGACTGTGCCTTGAGGAGGCGGACCTGATTAATGTATGGTCTAAACCTGAAAGCCAGATACAGTGGGGCTATTTCACACCACGCCACTCGGTAATGCATTTCCCGTCACTCCTGCTGCCGATGATGGACCGGAAGAGGCGGAAGATCTACATAAGCCTTCCTTCTTGAGTGATTATACCTCTCCGGGGTAAATCATTCGTCCAGAAAAGCCAACCGACAGAAACAGAACTCAAATACGTTAAATGGTAGAAGACCCGTAGTTCTGGACTTTGGTCCTTTGCTTTTTGCTAGGCCTTTTTTCCGCGTCCCACCAGCACTTGCAAGGACACGTTTGATACTGGACGCCGAAGGTAGGACGCCAAATTCGACCCAGCGGTAAGCGACCATCTCTCCAACATATAGAGTAGGTTTCTTGGTACAGCGATTACGGAGGGCACCGGGTACAGTATCACAGGAGCAACGGTTGGTTGCCAAGCAACACGAATGGTGGGGTGGTCTTACCCTGCCGAACAACCTCATCTTCCTGTGTGCATTAGTGACGGAAAGTTCACTATATTGCGCTGGCTGAGCAATCTGTGATGCCTTAAGCCCTTTCCTGCTACATGTTATATAATTGATAATGTTACGCTGTCACGAATTGAGGGTCTTGCAAACGAGTCTGATGCAATCACACAAAATTGTCCTCTTCGATTCATTCCTCAAACAATAACTTTAGTATTTAAGAGACAGTATTGGAGACCGGAAACCGTACGAAACCCATGCCGGGTCTTAATTTAACTTAAGCGAGTCGTGGTATGAAAATGTTCGCAATCTCAGTATGTGCGATCATACGCAATCTCCACTTTCTCTCCAACCAGGTTGTGCTTGTTCCAGTCAATACTCCAAAAGTTACGTATACCAACAAAGAACAAGAAAGTAATGAAATGTCAAGTCGTAATAACAGACGTCTTCTAAATTATCAATGAATCTTCTACTTACACTACACTACAGACCTAGAGCTCTGATTGATCTCCAAAAAGGTCTCAAAATTAGGCTTAGAATGGTCATTCTCAGCACATGGAACAGAGTTTGTACTTTATAGCGCAGAGATGTTTGTGGCCAGGTCAAGGATCTCTATTACATTGCCTTTTAATGAACATACTCCCGTGTCGACTAGTCAAAATGCCACACAAAACAACCCCTTATCAGCGTTTACCAACATGTGCTCGAGGTGGGCTTGTAAGAAATGGTGTTGGCTCCCTCGCCGCTGCTGTGCATCTTCTTCAAGATGCCAAACTGCCAACATCCCTCATATATGCCCTCGACAGACACGCCGAGACCGGGGGGGTTAACAAAAGCAGCGCAAATGCCGAAGACGGCTATGTTCTCCACCTCAGAATTCTCTATTTCTACGACTAAAGCGTCGGAGAATTATTGTTTTATCTTGTGTGCCTGATATTCAAGATCTCACAATATCTCTGCTGGCATCCATCGATAGTAATGATGACTTCGTGGTTGACGCTGGCGGGCACTCCGCCAATGTGTTTTCGTCGCATTGAATCATTATCAGCATGAATAATATGCGCAGTATCTTGATCAATCTTGCTTTAATGACGGAAGGAGTTCAGAATAGTGCTACTTGGGATATGATTTATCGTTCAGCTGCTCCTCATGGGCTGGCTGCTGTAGATGCCCACAATGGCGTGGACGGACCGGCATTAAGCGGTGGCTTCAGGAGGTTAACGGGGAAGCTTATTGTTGACCAAATGCAGTGTCAAAATGGTTCTAACCGACTGTAGTATCATTATCTTCGGACGGTAGCAATCACAATCTTCCCTGGGCAGTCCATAGAGCAGGATAACTCTTGGCGTTGCGACACGAGATTCTTATTCTGCGCCCGCAAAGTCCATAACGCCTTTGAAGTGATGATGTACTTTCACGTGCCGAAACTGGCACAATTGTCGAGTACGGAAACCGATTCCATAAGCGTCAAGATTCAAATAGTTATAGGGGTAGTTCATCCCATCCACGGTCACTAATAAAGGGATGATTACCTTTTTGGAGGCTTGTTTCAAAGATTCGCAAAGAACCCTTGCCATCTGCTTCCACACGTATCCACGCCTTGGTATAACTTCTTCAATGATGTCGCAGGTGCAACCTTGAACTTCCTAATCCGACGAATCAATAATTCTATGTTGATCGTTTCTCTACCCTTACCTTTAGATCATACAAGGACGTAAGACCCAGCTACCCACCTGGCCGAAATAATACCTATGCTTCCGCAACCGTTCCGAAATCTTGCCACCTTACTGACGCCGGGCGGACTATGCGTGGCTGTCCTTTCGAATGAATGAACTCTAATTATTTTGATGTCATAAAGTGTCCTTGTTATCAGTTGAGGGGTCACTTTTACGTCAAGACAGAGGGGGAGTTTCTGTCTGATTCCTTGGGATTGCCGAAAGCTTCCTTGTCTCTGGCCGGCGTTCAGCAACAACAATATCCTTGAGAGTACGGGAAGCAACACCTAAGGCAATACCGCGTATAAATGTACCTGTAACCCAGCAAGTTTCGCTTATTTGTAACTAGGTCTTACATTGAAGAAGAAACTAGCGGTGGCATTACACATAGTGAGAATTGCATTTTACCCGGCCGGGAGTCCATAAAAAAATCGAGCAACAAGACGCCAACTGCCCCTAAAGAAATGAGCACCGCTAGTTCAAGGTACAACGCAGATGCTTGGTCTGGGAGACCACTCAATGTGTGTTGATACGTCGGCTTCTTACACATAAACTGAATCTCTAACAGCATGTCCCAGGTCATCTACGCTGGAATTTCGGAACTTATCTGGGACAATACTGGCGGAAGAGTTGCAATTGTCATCCGGAATTCAACAGATCTCGTTGATTTCTTCGTGTGTTCTTGGCACGCTCCCCGTTCCGATGTATCAGACCATGCAACTGACGCGATAATTGCAGAGCTGAAAGAATACAGAGAAAAGCATGCGGGGAAAATAGTCAGCGCTGCTCTTCACCAATCTCTTGCTTCCTGGTGTCCATTATTATGCTCGCGGCTGTGGCGCGAGCTTGACATTGTGCCCTTGGTACTTGAATACAAGGACCGTGAAAGACAACATACCGATAAAGGCGAGCTGGCGACCTATGCTGGGTAGTATAAGAAGAAACTCGATAAGCAGGCAGATTCAATGGTGTGAAAGTGCATACAGTCAGTGTTATCTTTAGAATAAGCGTAAAAACTGATGTTGTACAGATCCTTCGGCATTAACCATATACTCCATAATCATATAAATTATGATGGCTCAGTGGATGTAGATAGAGGCTACTATATATATCTTGCTTGTCTAGAAGACTACAAGAAGACAGTCAAACCTGCAATGTGGTCTGTGGCTCAACATTATGCCCAAAACCTGAGGGAAAGCGAGGTGAAGATCGCCTTTTTTAGTATGACGTGTCAGGGCAAACCCGACGTTCCTACCCGGCATGCTCTTGCACGGTTCAGCAACAGGCTCAGAGTTCAAGTCAAATGGTATACATCTGCATCGTTTTCGAAAACTCGCTTGATTGAAATTTTAACATCATCACACAGGTTTGTGCCGAAGCCTCGACCGGGAATGGTTCCTCTCATCCGGAAGATGCAAGACATCTTGGAGGGACTAGGTAATCTACTGTCAGTTATTACTGTTAATGATGAGTTATTGATCCTGGACTTTGCCTACACTAACGCGAGAAGGCACTGGCTGTGCCAGAACAGGCTCCTTCGGCCTCGCGCGGAGGAGGCCGTCAATATAGTAATTGTTGACAGTGCGCCACTTTTGACATTGGCTCTACTCTCAAAGCAGCAGGATCCCGAGTGGCCTGTCATATTTAAGAGTAGTCTTTACACTCAAGGAAACCCGCTTCAGGACTACAATAGCCCGTAATCCCGAGCATAGGACTATATCCGAACCAGGTTAGCTCATGTTGATCTGCTAGTATTGCTACTTCCGAAGGAACTTGCGCCGCGTGTTGTGCCCGAGGCAAATGTCAGCTACATACAATATTCCGTTGACCAGTATTAATCCTAAAGCTCCATATATAATCTGGACCCATGCTAATACTGGTGTAGACTTGATGGTCAGAACAAGCCTTTGACTGGCTGGGACATTGGCTTCTATGGAAGGGAGCTCAGCTCCATCTGTAGAAATCTGCAGGTATCTACTATACACTATCCAGAAGGTAACAATCCCACTGTCGGAGCGCTACATATATCGCTAAGACTCTCCCTTCATATAGAGCAATATATCCTCCATCTGTCCCAGTTTAGACCTGGTAACGGTACTCTTTACCTTCTTTACTCGTATCAGAGGCTTTACGACACATGTGTCAAGGAGCGTCCGGGACAGCCAGTTCTGAAGTTGTTGATTTGTCACCGTGGTCCCTCCCGTACCCCAGAAAGCTCCCCTTTCTACAATGCGGTCATGTCTCAAATCAACAGCAGCGAGAGCCTGTCTACGTCCGTTTGCATCATTCCAATCGGGGCTGCGGACCAAATGTGGAACGCCCGGATCACACACGCAAGAGCGCTTGTGCAGCTGTCCACATTGCATGGGACCCCTGAAATGCTCCTCAGAGCCATCTAAAAGGGGACACCGATCATTACTACCAGAGATGCAGAGTTGCTCCCTTTCATGCATGAATCAGACCATATTATACTAGTCAACAAAGGGGATGAGTGTGCCATAGCTCGGCATCTTTCTCGTATCTTTAGTAATGAGAAAATTTCCCAGCACAAGGCAGCGCCTGCGTTGAAGAGACTGCTTGATAAGTATACTACTGTCGGGAATGCAGTCAGCTGGTTTTATCTGGCATCAAAAATGTCTCGAGGGGATTACTTCGAGCCTCGGGGTAAAGCTATCTATAAGCTGGCCCGAGAGGAGGCGGGCTATAACGCAGGCGATTAAAATGCTGTCTAGTTGCCAATTAACTTGAGAGAACCTTCTGTATAATGTTCACTCATTAAATCTCAATTCACAACAGCTCAACGTGGCTCCTTGCGTTCTTTTCTTCTCTCCATAAATGTGGCAATTCTTTGGGGATAAGCTTGGTAAGTATGCTCTCATCTGATTACTGACCAGATCCGCGGAACTGCGCATGACAACAAGGATTGGCAGAAAATCCAACTATTACAGTCAAATATATGTGTTCTTCTGTTAAAATATCCAGGGATATGGCCTGTCTAGTCTATCACAATGCATAGATAGAACAGACCGTCTCCATAGTGGTACACTATACCGACTGTTGACGTGACTACCACCATAGAGATACAGGGGTGGCCGCTGCGTAGGTAAAGATCGGGCTGGTGAGAAAAAAGCGGAGCTCAGGCCTCCTGTATTGGTCATTACTATGTGCGCTCTATCACCCTGATCAAATTTGCCATACGTGATTACTGACATCTTAGGTGATATCAAACAACCCATTCGATTGCCACAGCGATATACTAGTAGACACCAGTCGGGCGCTAAGGATCGACATATTAGCTTAAATGTGCCAGGGTTAATATGTTGCTCTGCTTGTAATATTCAAAGAAATTACTCATGCGTCACGTAAAGACGACAAAAGATTGGTGACGGGCTTTGAAGCGTATTCGTATCGCGCGCTTCTTTAGCCCACCGCTTTCGATCCTGGAGTAACTCTAAACATCTATGCCAGCAAAAGCAACCTCAATCGACCGTTTTTCTTTGATGGATACATATTATATATTGTGGACAAATACTCGCTGAAGTAACGCTAAGTCCAGAAACTCACACTTCCCTAAACATAAAGAACTTTTCACTTCGAAACCGACTCTGATCGTCAACTGCATACCCAGAGGGATATCGTGGCTTACCATGCGCCGCAAGCGATGACTGGCTAGTCTCGAGCCGAGTGAGCCGGAATGCTTGTACGTGGTGGAGCTAGGCCGAAAGCGGCGTACTTCACTTTGCAGATTCCAGACAAAGCTCGCAAAGTTAAAGACAGTTGTTATTTGTCTATGATGACGTATGTAATGCTTATCATGTAACCATACCCGTAGAGGATAGAGCAATGACCAAGCACTTCTTTGTCCAGATTTCGTTCCAGGAAACTAACTTCCACCCCGAGTCACCCCGTAACCATGGCACCGCAACACGAGCTCTCCTCACTGACCCTATATTTCATCCATCCTCACGGCTCACTTCGCATCTCTAGCAGTCTGTAAACGCTTTAATCGGAAGCCGAATTATACCTGGGCGCCACAGATATTAAGTACAGCAACACGAAGAAAACGCAAAAATGCCGACAATAGCCCTAATTGGCCTTGGCTCCGTGGTTGCTTCAACAGCTCTCTCTATAATCCACCAACGCATACCTGCAACCCTTCTCCTCGTGGACATCAAATCTACCCTCCGTGATGCCCAAGTCAACGATCTCTCTGACGCGGCACTCGTTCACGGTTCCGTGACACAAGTCCAGGCAGCCACGCATCGCGAGGCGAGTCAGGCAGACGTGGTGATTATCACTGCAGGAGCGAGACATACGCCTGGTACAACCTCAACCCCTTCAATTTCATGTTGAAAGTGGATTTTTGTAACAGCAAAGGTAGAGGTCCCGGCTAATGAGGATGAATATAATGTATAGGAGAAACCACTCTCCAACACCTCTATCACAAATTCAGTATCCTGAAAAGCATTCTCAACGAAATGCGCCCATTTTCCCCACGCACCGTTATCCTAGTGGTTGCTAACCCCGTCGATTTACTCACCACACTGGCGCAGGATATTGCTAGCCTGCCCCGTAGACAAGTCATTGGGACGGGGACGTGCTTGGATTCCCTAAGGCTACGAGGTGAGGTATCCCATGTCCTTGGGACCAAAATGGAGGAGACAGAGGGGTATGTAATTGGTGTACGGGGAAATGAGAGTCAGGTTATTATATGCTCTGGGTTACTGTCTCCCTATGGAGAGGAAGGAAATTCTATCCAGAAAAGATTGGAGGTGGAGAGTAAGATTGAGCGAAAATCGAAGGCTATTGTTGCTGGGAAAGGAGGTGCGCCGTGGGGAATTGGGGCTGTAGCTGGGAGTCTTGCGGCCGCAATGGTGAGAGACAACAGGAGGGTGTGGACAGTGAGTTGTTGGAGGGAGGATTGGAAATGTTGTTGTTCGTGGCCGGTTGTGGTGGGGAGGGAGGGAGTGGTGGAGGAGGTGAGATTGGACTTGAGGACAGGGGAAAGAGAGGCGGTTGAGTTGGGAGTCAAAAGTTTGAACGTGATAGTGGAAAGGGTTAAGGAGAATGAAGCGTGAAAATTAAGTCATCACAAGGCCATCGGGGAATGGGTTGGGTAGAAGAGAATTTTCTGATATAGGCTAACAAATTCATGTAACGAATTAATGTTTTTGTCTCACCACAAATCACATGTATCAGACTCATCCTCCTTCTGTTTCTCTGCTTCCCTCCTCGTCTCACTGGCTATCACATGCTGCTTCACCTTCACAAAACTATCAGGAATCACCGAGACGGAGTCAATTCCCGCCTCGACCAAGAAGCGCGCGAAATCAGGATGATCGCTCGGTGCCTGTCCACATATGCCCACCTTGCAACCAGCCCTGCGCGCTACCCGTATGACCTGCGCAATCAGCGATTTAACTGCCTCATCCTGCTCATCAAAGAGGTCCGCCAGCTCGTCTGAATCGCGATCGACTCCTAGCGTCAGCTGCGTTAGATCATTTGACCCGATCGAGAACCCATCGAACCGAGCCGCAAACTGCTCTGCCAGAACCACATTCGACGGAATCTCACACATTACATACACCTGCAGTCCATGCTCTCCCCGGTGCAACCCATTATCAGCAAGAACCTGCAATACCTTTTCCGCTTCGCCTACTGTGCGGCAGAATGGAATCATCACCACTGCGTTCGTGAATCCCATCTCTTCACGCAGTCGCTGAATAGCGCGACATTCTAAAGCGAACCCCTCACGATACAGCGGCGAGTAGTACCTTGATGCCCCCCGGAACCCAATCATCGGATTCTCCTCTTTAGGCTCGAACTCCTTTCCCCCAACTAGTCTTGCATATTCGTTCGTCTTGAAGTCGCTCATCCGCAGAATCGCCGGCTTAGGATACACCGCAGCGCAGAGTGCCGCGAAGCCATGGGCCAGCTTGTCTACGAAGTACTCAGGCTTGTGCTCGTACCCGGCCGTTAATCGATCAATCTCTGCCTTGGCCTGGACATCCTGCAGCCGGTCAAAATTCACCAGCGCCATCGGATGAACTCGAATGGCGTTGGTCACTACGAACTCCATCCGCGCCAGGCCGATTCCATCGGCAGGGAGTCGCCACCAGCGGTATGCGGCGGCCGGGTTGGCCAGATTCAGCATCACCTTTGTTCGGCTGGCGAGGAGTCCGCTCATGTCTACTGTCTCAGTGATAATCTCTGAAATACCATCATAGACGAAGCCCTGATCGCTTTCGGCACACGAGACTGTCACGTCTTGCCCCGAGTGCAACACGTAGGTCGCATCATGAGTGCCCACGATAGCAGGGACGCCGAGTTCCCGACTGACAATAGCCGCATGAGAGGTGCGGCCGCCGTGGTCGGTAATAATTGCTGCGGCGCGCTTCATGATTGGCACCCAGTCTGGGTCGGTCGTTGCAGTGACAAGAATGCAGCCGTCGATGAACTTGTCCATCTCGTGCGCGGACTCGATCAGACAGAGACGACCGGAGACGGCGGCATCGCCGACCGCTAGTCCAGTAGTCAGGGTGCAGCCCTTATGACCAATCTTGTACGTCTTAAAGGCCGCGGTCGCGTCACGGCGGGAGTGGACGGTTTCAGGTCGGGCTTGGACTATGAAGAGCTGGTTGGTGAGACCGTCCTTGGCCCATTCCATGTCCATTGGGCAGCCATAGTGGGTTTCGATGGTGCAGGCCCATCGGGCGAGTTGGAGAATTTCGGGATCATGGAGGACCAATGAGGCGCGTTCAGCTTTTGAGGTTGGCACGTTCCTCGTGGGAGTCTGGTCGTTGCCATATATCATCTTGATGGATTTATCGCCGCGCTTTTTGTCGATGATGGGTACGACGTAGCCATCCGAGAGGAGAGGTTTGAAGACTTGGTACTCATCTGGGTCGACAGTGCCCTGGACGACGTTCTCGCCCAGGCCCCAGGCTGCGTTGATGAGGACGACATTGTCGAAGCCTGTTTCAGTGTCGATGGAAAACATTACCCCCGAGCCGCCGGCATCGGAGCGGACCATGCGCTGCACGCCGACGGATAGGGCGATGCGCAGGTGATCGAATCCCTTTGCTTGCCGGTAACTGATGGCTCGATCAGTGAAGAGCGATGCGTAGCATCGTCGACAGGCTTCTAGGAGGGCGTCTTCGCCCACAATGTTGAGGTAGGATTCCTGCTGTCCGGCGAAGCTGGCGTCCGGGAGGTCCTCGGCTGTAGCGCTGGATCGAACTGCCACGCTGACGTTTTCGACGCCTGCTTTGGATGAAAGCCTGCGGTATGCGGCGCGGATGGCTGTCTCAATATCGGGTGGCCAGCTACCTCGAATGAATAGCTTTCGTATTGCTTGACCAGTCTCGGCGAGGTGGGCCTTTCCTGATTCCCAGTCTGCTATGAGCTCGGCTAGGCGCTTCCGGATCTCATTGGTGTCGATGTATTGCCAGTATGCATGGGACGTGGTTGCGAAGCCGGGAGGTACGGTAATCCCTTTGGCTGACAGAGCTCCGATCATCTCCCCCAGGGAGGAATTTTTGCCGCCGACGAGGGAGCCATCGCTGCGTTGCACGTGCTCAAAGTCACGAACGAGGTGTGTGTCGGTGCGGAAGCCGTCCATGTTGCCGTTTTGGAGGTCTTTCTGTAGGAAATGAACTATACTTTTGGCTATCGCTACAGTACTGTATAATGGACGATGCATGGAATGTGTTGGTGATTCATAGCACTACTTAAAGGCCTCCAGTATCTTCTATACGTTCGCGTGAGGGGTCTGCCGACATGTCATCGATCATTCCTCGGAGCCGAGGATGTCGTAGCTCCGAAAGAAGAAATAGGTCTGTTAGGTTCTGAAGAGAAACTAAGATTCGAGATGAGGGGATAGACGTCGTCAGTCATGCAATCGGAAGCTTCCTAAAAAGCCTATTAGTAGCAAGGTCAGGGTCGTACTTTGAGAATCCGAGATGTGACATTAGAATACGGTCATCGCGGAGTTGCAGCGATAGCTACATCTTGTTGGGTTCAACGTCAGTGGCGGGATATACGGGCTCTTCCCTAGTTCACCCCAGACCTCAACGAGCGGTGCTAGGAGAGGAGTATCACCTGAACTACTGAACGGTGTAAGTTACGCCCGCAAGGTAAAGCTGAGTCACAAGCCATAATGGAAAACCTTACTCCGGCGATTTTGGAGGAAAGTAAATATCTAGAAAAGACACGAGGCCACAGGTCATATGACCCACCCTACACGACCGGATTTGGCACAGCCGCAATATCTAGTTTTCCCAACGCATCCAGACGCCAGCGATTCTCCCTATTTTACATGTAGCTATCGCATGACATCATAACAAGCCATTTCAGCGGACCTGGCCATTAGAAAGTCACAGTTCGCATAGTCTGGGCCAGCTGCTTGCCCAGCGCGGTCAAATTGTCTATGGGCCGCACCTCTGTGATATATATACATAGGCGTGTCGATGACATATGCTGGATTGCACTCATTGAAACGGGACTGCAATCAAGGAATACTGGCCGATGCTCTTGGAGCGCAACGCATCTACTCAATAACTACATCGGCCTTGCATATGAGCAAGATCCGACTAACAACACGGAGTAATAGCTCCTTACTTTTGGAAAAACGTACTTCAGCGTCGAATACTAACACGTCTAGTGGAGGCAACGTCATATCGACTGACAGAAGATAAAAAACGATCTGAAAAGTGAACGGCATGGGCATAAAAATCATCTGATCAATATATCTGACGCGTCATTCCGGAGAATCGACAAGCGCGTTCAGGTCGTGCCATTTTCTAAACGTATTATGTGGGTCGTACTTTTTCTTCAATTCCCGCAGACGGGGAAGGTTCTCTCCAAATATTCGCTTGATCGGCACATCATGACCTATAGATGATGAGAAATTATTTCGGCCCTCTCGACACATCTAAGCATCGACGACAGTGATTGGAGGAGGTAACTCCCTGCAACATACCAGCATAATTCGCATATAACCCGGTTCCATGTTCGGACATGTTGTAATTCGGCTGCCTTTCAATCCCCGCGAGTACTCCAATCCGGTCCATCAGATTCTTCTGTAGCGAGCGGATCTTGTCATCAAGATGTGCTTCATTCCATTCAAAGAGGGTGCTGACGTTGTAGTAATGACCGCGACTGGCATACGCTGTGGCATCATTAGGAACTTTAGCAAGTTGTGAATTCGGCAAGAGCTCAAAAAGCAGCCTACTCTCCCTTGTCTGCGGGTAGTTTCTCAACACACTATCAAACGCCTCGTATATTGACAGCACAAAAGCGACATCCAGAGGAAGCGTGATATTTGAACCTCTAAGGCTCTTTCGAGGACCCACACTCATATCGGCAGGATACTTAATATCGACCCTTGAACGGTGTCCTCGGTGCGCCACAAGACTCTCCCTGTCTAGTACACTGTTGAGGCTATCGTACGGGAGCATCTGCGTTCCATTATTTAAGGACTCGAGCGACAAAATCGGAGAAAAGAACTTTTGTGCGGCAACCTGAGTGCCATTATAGAATACCACCACCAAAACGGAGCATTGAGTCATAGACGGCTGCATAGTGAAACCAAACCAGAAACCCTGCCTACCGTCGGTGATAGTCTCGAACTGATTGGCGAAATTGACAAGCGTAGGTAACTTGTCCGGGGTGAAGAGGAGAGTACCAGCAAATACATGGTGATCTTGTATGTGTGCTCGGAGGCCCAACTCAACAGCTACTCCAAAGCTTTGACCGGCCCCCCGAATGGCCCAAAACAAGTCTGGGTGTTGCTCTTCTGATGCTACCACTGTAGTGCCATCGGCCAAGATCAACCTCACCCAAAGTAAGTTATCAATCGCGAGACCGTACTCGCCGGTCAACCATCCATAGCCTCCTCCTAATGTTGCTCCAGCAGCTCCAATCTGGTTAAGTGTGCTTCCGACCACTGCAAGCTTATACTGTGCGGCTGCAACATCTACATCTTTCCACAACGCCCCACCTTGGGCAGCGAGAACCAAGGAGTCTGGATACACATGGACCTCCCGAAGCCTGGATAGGTCCAACACGATACCGCCATGAGTTGTGGATGCGCCGCTGGTAGAATAACCTCCTCCTTTGACTGCGAAAGGAACGTCATGGCGTGTGGCAAAACGGACGACTATGGCTGCTTCATCGGCTGATGTGACCCGGACCATCGCGCCCTGCAAAGGGTCAATATTGACAGCCAAGCAAAACTCGTCAGGAGCAGATTACCACAAGTGTATTGCATGTTTCACTCCATTGCTCTATGCAGTCATTATAGCCTTCACATCCCCAGGTCAGAATTTCGGCGTCTGTACCATCCAACTCTCTCCTCAAACTATGGATAATAGAGAAGGGTAAGAATGGCATTTGGTCGTCCTATAGCTGGTGTGATTCCTCCGGTCTCAGAGCGGAAAGTGTTCTGAACGTGCCCGCGGGGAGTAAATCAAGGGCAATAGCGTTCGAGACAATTTAGCAATATCTTAAGGTGGGCCAGATTCGAATTTATGACAGTTATCTAAATTATAGATATTTTAGAGTGTTAGCAGCTCCACGGTTGGGGTAGTTCTCACGCCCAAGTTTCTCACACCCATGTTTCTCATATCCATATTTGCGTTACCCGTGCACACTGTACCCATGGTATCTGTACGTCCGGTTTAATACTTACCACATGTGAGCTTAATGGGTTGGTCCTAAACCGAAGCAACCCGCCCCGCATTTCGGCCGAAGGAGGCAAATTACACTTCCCATATCCAGAATTACAATATCTATTGGAAGAGCACGCCTTGTGCGACGGTCCCGTGGACAGGACTGTCCCCCCTTCTAGTAGGGAAATCTTCACAACGAGACAACAGTCAAACAATATCTGATTAATTTTAAACTAGCATCCTCTAATAGAGCTTCTTACAAGAAATATAATAATATAAGTTTCATCCTTTCGAGAAATTATTATGCGGAGTTATAAATCTTAGAAAATAATAATATTTATTTCTAAAACCAGTTAGCATATGTTACAGAAATTTAATCAGATTAATATATATAACAGAAATTTAATTAAGTTAATATTTTTTCTAAGTATACTAAGCCTGATTAATTCTATTAAGCATTATATAAATAAATATTACAGCCAAAAGTATTACTTTAATAAATATTACTAGAGTGGTTAACGGCCAGGGTAGAGTGGTTATACCTGTCAAGGTGCGGGCTGGCGGGGTGGTAGGAAGATAGCTTGAACAGGAAACAGAAACAGGCGGGAGACTGGCTAGCTAACTACAGTCAGGCTATATACAGGAAGATAAATAAGATATAGCTCAGAGCTATAAACAAAGTTTAGAAGACTAGTATATTTTATATTTCTTCAGATTATATATCCAGATAGTCAGTCTGGGCTGTATTCTATAGCTAGTATTATAATAATATTTCTCTTTTTCTTAAGCCGAGTTCCTGCAAGAGGAAGGTCCGGGCTTATCTAGATAATAATAATAGAAGTTTTTAATAATCTAGTAAGTATTTTCTAGATATTTAACAGGCTCCGCGGTAAGGTCAGTATATTTTATCTATTTAATAAAATAAAACAGCCGGGATTAGTCTTGCTTATAATAGTTCCAGAAAAAATCTAATATATTTTTAATTTTCTATTCTTTAAGATTATTAACTTCAACATGGGAAAGAAGAAACTAATACTAATTTAATAATAAATTATTATTAACAGAAATAAATAAACTTATATAAAATACTAAATAGATCTTTATACTAGATGGAAGTATTAGATAATAAATATATAAATTAATAATTCTTTTAATTAAATACAGGCCTAGGATATTCTAGTTAAATTTCTTATTAAATTATAATATTTTAATAAATTAGATATCTAGCCAGATCTTCTAGTCTTTCTGAAATCTTAAACTAGAATAATATCTTTTATTTATTTACTCTGCGTGTCTGGCTTAGGCTATAATTATCTTAGTTTATATAAATTTAATAATTATTTATATTCTAGTAATAAATTATTCTATATTTTTAATAATAGATTAGTTTAATATAAGTACAGATTTAAATTTTATATAAAAATAGAAGCTGTAATTAACAAAAAACAAGATAGTCTTGATAATATTAAAATAAATAATATTTAGAATAAATTCAGTTAAAGATAACCAGCTGGATTAGTTATTCTGCAGGTAGTTTATATAAATATAAAAATATTATTTAAGTATAATATTTATCTACTTTATCTACCTGTTAGTTTCCGGGTAGTAAGTTATTAATAATTTACTTATAATATTTAAATATTAGATTAAATATCTCTAGAAATTAATAATAAACTGGAGACTTTTATCAGAGATAATAAAATAAAATAATCTATACAGTTTCTATATATATTAAATATATATAAGAATTATAGTAGTAGTATTAGCTATAATATTATAGAAGATTAGATACTTTATCTTAATCAGATAATTAATAATTATTAATACTATATTATAACTTCTACTCTCTGGTAAATAAGTAATAAAATCTATAAATATATCTTACTAAATATATTTTAAAACTAGTAAAGATTTCAGGATATCCTGCTTAATCTTTTATAAAAAAATTATTCTTTAATAAATATAATAGTTCCTTATCTACTATTTTATATAATAGTACTGGTTTAATTAATAATATTCTTAGACTAAGAGTTTATAAATACAGAATCTTCCGGGATGCTCTAAGAAGGATTTATTATAAATTAAATAAATTAAATCAGCTTTTAGATCAGTGTGGTTAGAGATTTATAAATAATTCTTATAATATAGTAAACTTCCTCTCTTTTTACAGGAAATTAAGAAAATATCTAAATATCAGTCTTTATTTATTATTAATATCTTTAAGATATCCAGCATCTATTTATCTTTCTTATATATATTTTATAAAATAGTCTGGATTTCAAAAGGCAGTTTTAAGTCTTATTTATCTTTAAAAATAATCTAGGTTAATTATCAGGTTACTAAGACTAGAATAATTTTATAAAAGTCTTTTATAAAACTTTCCGGGGTAGCTGGTAGGTCAGATTCCTGTAATTATTTAGATTTATTATTAATAAAATAAATAGAATCTAGAAAATATCTGTAGAAGTCTTTTACAGAATCTTTATATATAAATAATAGATCAGGATCTTTCTTTATAAAATAAATAAAGTCTAGATTCTCTTATTTAAATATAGTCTAGCTCTGGTATAACAGTTATTTATCTTTTTTTTAAAAAAAAATCTTTAATCTCCTGGTTAGATTATCAGACTTAATTTTATAATATCCGGGATAATAAATAATACAGAAGTTAAAATAAGATAAAAATTCTAATTATCAGGTTTAGTAGCAGTTCAGAAGCTTAATAAATATAAAATATTCCAGATTATAATAATCTGTAATAACTTAGATCAGGAATAAAATTCTTTTAAATTTTAGATATTACTTCTTAAAGCAGCAGATAATCATAAAAAATTCTTTATTATAAATCTCATAATTATACTCTGTCAGAATATATTTCTTAAAGAAAAAAATAATAAAATACAGTAAACTATTATTATTATATTAGAATAAAACTCTAGTAAAGATATAATCAAAGATATTAATTTTAAGTATTATCTCACGGGTCCAATTGAAGGACTGGAATATAAAAATATTAATAAAAATCTTTTATAAATAACTAAAAATATTCTAGCAGATTATATTTTATTAAAAGAAGATATTTTTTTTAATAAGATATACAAACAGGACAGTTAACTTAAAGAAATCTTAGATAAAATAATGATAAAAATTACTAAAGCCTAGGAAGACTTATATATTAGTAATATAAATTAAAATAAATTAATTAATAATAATCCTGATTTTCTTAGAATCTATATAGAATTTATTACAGCTTATAATAAGATCCAGGAACTTGGTTTTAAGAATAATAAATTTATATTTAAATAATTTAGTAAACAAGCTGGCTATATAAAATTTCTAGAAAATCTTCTTAATATAGTCCAGGTACTTACTTCTAGTTCAGTTATAAATAAGAATATTATTTAAATAAATTATATAAAATATATTCAGATAATCTTATAGAATATTATTAATATAATACTAAAAAATAACAGAGACTTCTGATAGCCTGAACAGTATAACTAGTAATTTATAAAAATCTAGTCTTATATAAAATATTATCAGATATTTCTAGCTCTTAATAATCCAGATATTATTAAAAATACTAAAAATAATAATCTTAATAAAGTATTATATTCTTTTTAAATTATTCAGAATCTCTTTAACCAGTAATAGCAGGTAATAATTCTTAATTAAAAGAATATTTAAAATATAATAATCTATACAGAATCTCAGATCTCTGTCTAGTTTTTTAATAAATAAGACTAGAGAAATTACTAGAAAGAAGCTAGAATAAATAAATTTTTTCTATAGATTCTTAACCAGCTATTTACAGAAAGCTGTTAGTTTTTCTTAGAATATTTTATATAAAAGTTTAAATAATAAGATCTTTTTTTTCTCTAGAATAATAACATAATTATAAATATAATAGAACAGGAGCTTCTCTATCTTCTAGAATAAAAATATATTAATAAATTCCTAGAATTTCTTAAATAATTTAAGCTTTTTCTGGTCAGGGGCAGCATGGAGTACTGTATTAAGCTAAATAATAATAATTATATAAATAAAATAATTTCAGCAGGTATATATAATATACATATCCAGGAAGACAGACTGGATATTCTTATTTCTCAGGAATTTAAATAGATATATATTCATTAATTGGATATAGGCTGGAATATCATAGAGAATATAGACCTTAATTAACTGGATTAGAATATTACAGAGTTTCTGATAATAAGAACTAGTAAATTAAAGAATATAATTAGTAAAATTTATATAAAAATTATAGAGCTTCAGCCAGGATAAACTAATTATAATCAGAAAATAAGCTAGCTGGATGACCGGAAAAGAGATATCTCTTTTAATATAATTATATATCTTTAAGATAGCTCAGATATAATAAATAATTATCCTGATCTTATTCTCACAGCTGTTAAATTTTATAATAGATTTAAAATATTTTAGAGAATATAATAATAATTACTGGATCTAGAGTGGTTAACGGCCAGGATAGGGTAGGTTAATGGAAAAATTTATACCTGCTGTCAGGTTAATAGTTAGGTATAAGATTTCCTTATATCTAACTGCAGAATAGCTAAAAATAGAACAGTTAACTATTTTAACTGTTCTTGGTGCTAAGATTTATCTACTATATTTTTTTAGATTTTAACATGGATAAGATATACTCAGATTAATAACTATTTATCTTAATTATTTATATTTTTATTAATAATTAATACAAGACTAATCTTCTTGATTTTAAAAATAGTCAGAAAAAAGAAAATAATATATTTTATTTTATTTTTATCT